CGATGAACACAGCAGGCCAAGCAGCATCAGAGGAGCAGGAAGGCTGACGTTTCAGGTCTAGACCCTTCTTCAGAAAATTTTTGTCAGCTTTCCTGCTCTTCTGATGCTGCTTGGCCTGCTGTGTTCATCCAGCTCTACACCTTGTTATCTCTATCTATTGTCAGTCAGGAGTTGCCTTGCGTGAAATTTGCCTCAGATGACGCTAAGAAGGGAAATTTGGCACACCATTTTGTGGAAAGGGACCTGGAGGTCCTACTGAATGGAGTGGTACACAGGAGAGCTGTCCTCTTCCTGCCAGAACCAGCAGTGGAGGCTGTGACACCAGACTGCGTAGCCTGGTTTGAATTTGCCACTCTTGTCAGTGCAGTTTCAGTCAGCTGGAAGAATGCACAGCAACATACGAAGGAAGAGAATGACCTTCTCCACTCTGCCAATGTAAGTCCCACCTCATCTTCTCTCTTATACCTTACACTGTCACTCGATCTCTGCTACTATAACCACCTCATTCTCCTACTGTCACTACTGCCTGCAATATCTTCCCTCACTCGCTGTCACCCATCTCAGCCCCAACATAACAAACCCTCATGCTCTCTGTGCTGACTACTCACGTGCTCAGTACATCTACCTATCTGACCCAACAGTGATAACTTTGTTACCCACGTTCACTTGCTTTTATCTCATTCCAAGAGGAAAACAACCCACAATGGGCAGATAAAGTCAGAATAAGTGGTAGGCTGCCTAATATTTAGCTCCAATCCCCTTATGTGGAGAACATCCTGACTCTAACTGCCCTGAATGACTGACCATGGCCAAGCCCCTGGAATGATATCAGGGGCTTCCCTTGACTTACTGTTCCTTGATCAAAGACCATCTCCCTTCACTTAACTGAGAACTACTGACAATCATGACAAGCTTCCTGGCTTTGAGTCTGCCCTAAAAGGCACAGCAATACAGTAGGACTATGAGCCTGACTTTTCTGGCTGAGGGGCAAAATGCAAAAAGGCAAGACAGGGAATGCTGTGAGTATCCAGGTAGGCTCAGAGAAAGTGAGTGCTAAATGAGCAAGCGAATACCCTGCTCAATTCGGATTCAACCTGGTCCAATGTAAGAGCTGGGTGTACATCCCTATGTGTACAGTGTCTTTGCTGCCTCACTGTAATAGTTGCCAGTGTACTCCCTAGTGTAGCATTGAAGTGCAGATGTATAATGTAAATTGTTTGGAAGTGTACAGTGAGGGTTGTTAGAGTCTAACATTTATTAGATGCCATTATCCCATGGACATGCCATGAGTTGTTGGTACCTGGAGGTCAATGTGGATGTCCTTTGGTGAGCTGAAGTTGCCAGGTACCTTCATTGACTTCCATGTAAAGAATTTCCAACATCTAGCTTGTTCAGTGTGTTTGGTAAGATAGAAAGCTGAAAGTTAGCAAGGTGAGTTCAGTATTACTAAGGTGTTTAACAAGCTATAATCCTCCTTAATTGGTAATGCACCACTGCACAGTGCCAAACATGGCAAGATGCCTAAAAGACATAACGATTTCCTCCTGATATCAAGATAGGCCTTGCTGGACTACTGATGTGATTCTGTCACTAATCTTGCCTTTGGTGCTACCATGAGGTGCCTTCTACTTTCTAGCAATTGTTAATCATCACTTCTTGATTTGCTCAGACCCTCGCCCTTTTGGAGGAAGAAGATGATATAAACCAAATTACAGACTACTTCTCCTATGAGCATTTCTATGTTATTTACTGTAAGTTCTGGGAACTAGACACTGACCACGACCTCTTCATTGACCAGAAGGATTTGGCCAGACACAATGACCATGGTGAGTTACTCTAAAAATGACATGCCAATATGTCTTTTGTAAATTTTACTTTTCTTGTAATAATGTTATGCATATTATTATGTTACTATATTATTATTATCCTATGTTTCTTTTAAAACTCATTGAGAAATATTTTAACTGATTCAGTTAAGTATTGCAATTTTCATTTTTTAATTTATTTGGCTCACCTTTTCTCTGCACCCAACATGGAGATTTAGAGTTGTGTTCATATGAGGTTACACTCATAAACACAACCAATCAGAATGTCACTTAGGATCATTCTTTATGTCTGAGTCCAGCCAGTAAATGCCAATGTGCCAAAATTTGCAAGTAATATCAAGATGGACAGCAAGAGCTTCTTTCAATATATAAAAAGGAAGAGGGAAGCCAACGTGAACATAGGCCCCTTAGAGAACAAGGCTGTAGAAATGGAGGACCAGGAAATGGCAGAGGAGTTGAATAAGTACTTTGCCATCAGTCTTCCCAGTAGAAGATATTAAACAGCATTACGAAATAATCAAGGGGCAAAAGAAGGATAGGAAGTAAATACAATAACTATCACTAGAGAAAAAGTACTAGGGAAACGAGTGGTGCTAAATATTGATAAATCCCCTGGACCTGATGGCATGCATCTTGGGATATGAAACAAAGTTGCTATGGAGATAGTGGATAGTCTGATAGTAATCTTTCAGATTCCTTAGATTCTGGAAAAATTCCAGAGGATTGGAAAACTGCTGATGTAACACCTCGATTTAAAAAGGGAACGAGATTTAAAAAAAACTGTTACCTATGGGCTTGTTAGCTTAACATCTGTTGTTGAGAAAATGTTGCAGTCTATTATAAAGAATGTAATAGCAGACCATTACAAAATGCATGATATGGTAAAGCAGAGTCAGCTTCATGAAGGGGTAATTGTGCCTAACTGGTTGGGACTTTAGAAGAATGAGAGTCGACCTTATTGAAAAATTCTTAGAGGACTTTACAGGGTAGATGTAGAAAGTTGTTTCCCCTTTTGGGAGAGTCTAGGACTAGATGGCATAATCTCAGAATAAGGGGTTGCAAACTTAAAACGGAGATGAGGAGGAATTTCGTCTGTCACAACATAGTGAATTTGTGGAATTCTTTACTGCAGAGGGTTGTCAAGACTGAATCATTAAGTATATTCAAGGTTGATATTGACAGATTTTTAATCAGAAAGGGAATCAAGGGTCATAAGGAAATGACAGGAAAATGGATTTGAAGATTAACAGCTCAGTCATGATCTCATTGAATGACAAAGCAAACTCGATGGGCTGAATGGCTCATTGTTTCATAGTCTTCAGCCAGGAGACATAAGACAGCTAACCTTGATCCTGCCTCCAGCTAGCAATTGTTGACAATAACTCTTGTATTAGACAAATTCTATTTTTTGTTCATTATCTCAGCATGGCTTCATTCTCTTATTTGGTTACAAAGAAATTATTCCTATTTCAACCAGGGGTGTTCGTGGGACTGTAAAGAGCAATTTTCATGTGCCTTGTTTAAGCATACTGGGCAGGTTTCCTGCCCAAAGCTGCTGCTAAAGCTGTGAGGCTGACAGGCAGGTGTCAGGTGAGGACGGTATTGAGGAGATCTGCTGAATTGATCTTAGGAAGTCAAGCAAGTGGATTGTGTTAAGGCCAAGATGGATCTTGGAGGAAGTGGAAGGGATGCCCAGGAAAGACAAGAATGAAGATAGCAAGAACTGAAGATGCTGGAGTCAGTGTGGAGCTGGAGGAATACAGCAGGCCAGGCAGCGTCAGAGGAGCAGGAAAGCTGACATTTTAGGTCGGAACCCTTCTTCAGATTTTTTCTGAAGAAAGCTTTCCTATTCCTCTGATGCTGCCTGGCCTGCTGTGTTCCACCAGCTCCACACTTTGTTATCAAAGACAAGAATAAACATTTCTTTGTGCAGCCCACAGGAACACTCCTGCTAATCCGGGACATGCAGCAAGTAACTCACCTCCTGTCTCCCTCATGTCTATCCTCCATCTACAAGGCAAAAATGAGGAGTTCAAAAGTGAGTGAGCTTAAAAATTCACTCCCTTGACGAATGACGCAGTGGCAACAGTCTGCACCATTTACAAGATGCACTACAGTAACTCACCCAGGCTCCTTAGCATCTTCCAGTTCCATGACCACACCAACTAGAAAGACAAAGGAGCAGACACATGGGAAGACCACCACATGCAGGTTCCCCTCTAAACCACACACCATCCTGACTTGGAGATATATCACCATTCCTTCAGTGTCATTGGTTCAAAATCCTGGAACTCCATGCTCATGTCACTATAGGTATACCTACGCCCTGTGGACTACAGTAGTTCAAGAAAGCAATTATTACTGTACAATCAATGCTGGCTCAGTCTGTAATGACCACATCCTATAAACAAATAATTATAAAAAAAAATTGTTACCTTCTGTTCTTTCTTGTGTTATCAGTTGACACTTGAAGAGACTGAACAGATTTTACTCTAGCTTCCTGCTAGCTTTCTCTATTTATCAGATAGTCCCTATTTAACCATTATGCTGTTTGTTTATAATGTAACTTCCTATCAGGTGGTATGATCCTTTTCATGTATCTATTTATGTCAAAAATGTATGTAAGATATGGGGTGATTTTAACCTTGCTCCCCTTCCCTCGCTACCCAAATAACATGGCCCTTCCCTTCTATCTGGACAAAATTTGTATTTTAGATATAACTTTTCTGTAGGATCTCTCCTCCAGCTTCCAATACCCAGGAAGCCGCTGAGTGGCATGGTGTCTGAAGAAAGGTCCCGACCCGAAACATCAGCTTTCCTGTTCCTCTGATGCTGCCTGGCTTGCTTTGTTCCTCCAGCTCCACACTTTGTTATCTCTGACTACAGCATCTGCAATTCTTGCTATCTCTGTCATGATATGATGTTTTTTCAACCCCTCAGCCTGTGTGAAGAGCCTCATTATTTAATATCCATCATCACATACAGAGTCATATTTGGAAAATGAAATGTTCCATGGTTTGCTGTATTTCTTTCTCCACAGCTATCTCGAATAGAATTATTGAAAGGATATTCTCTGGAGCAGTCACAAGGTACATAAATATGTTCATTTTTATAAAACTGAAAAATGTTTTCCAGAAAACTGATGAGAAGTAGAAAGATTTCTGGGGTGATGCAGCACTTTGTCACATTCGCATGCAAATATGCTTCACATATTTAGGGGAAACTGCTCTGTCTCCCTTTGAAGGGAGCTATTAAACCTTTTATTTACCAAAGGAAGGACATACCACCAATGGAGGATTGCAACAAGGACTCATTAGACTGATTCCTGGGATAAGGGGATGTCTGATCAGGAGACATTGAATAAACTGGAATTGCATTCCGAGAAAAGAACGAACCTCATTGAGAGGATATGAACTGCCTAAAGGGCTTCAGTAGATGCTGGAAGGAGGTTTCCCTGACTAGGGAGTTTAGAACTAAGGGTTGCAATCTCAGAATAATAAATTGGTCATTTGGACTGAGTTAATGTAAAATTTGTCCACTCAAAGGATTGTGAATTTTTGGAATCCTGTATCCCACAGAGCTGGGGATATTTAGCCGTTGAACATATTCAAGGCAGAGCTTGGTAAATCTTTGCATGCTAAGGGAATTAAGGGACGATGGGATTGTCTGGGATGGTGAAGTCAGGTTGAAGCTCAGTCCTGACTCTGCTAAATGGCTGAAGGACCTACTCATGCTCCTATTTGTTATGTGGTCATTTTAACAGGGGCATCAGTTAAAATAATGGACAAAGATTGTTTACATAAATAAGTTTGTAATATATGCAGTAACCTTACGCATTACAGTTACACTAATTTATATGAGGACTTCATATCAGGATGTACTATGCAGGGGCTTTGCCTTCTCTACATTATTGTACTACATGCCACCGCAATATCAATTGTATCCCTGAAGAAGGAAATCAAATTGTACCACTGCCTCTCACTTAAAGTGATGACCTTCATCAATGCTCCAATTATAAATAGAAATAGGAAACATTGATTGCATGGGAAAGATGTCAATTTGTCTGTCAATAAGTGTGTCCACATGGTCTTGCTGTCCAGCCTCAGCTGTAATGGAGGCAGGGTTTATGGGTCTGATGACTAGTTAGGAATCATGACTTTCAAATACATTTGCATGCATTGAAGAGCTTAGCGTTTTTTGTTAAACCCATTTTGAACATGTCATTTTGAAGAAGAATTTGGCAAGTATTTGCTGCTCTGGCCTAGTAAATACAACATCTCCAATTTCAGGGGTAACTGTGTGCAGAAAGAAGGTCGGATGAGCTATGCTGATTTTGTCTGGTTTCTGCTTTCTGAAGAAGATAAGAAGAATCCCACCAGGTAAGGACTCCAATGAGATTGTGAATGGAGGTTTGACTCCCTTAGTTACTTTATACATGCAGTCAGAGAACTTTACTCCTGCTCTGTAGCAATACCTGAGAAAACCCTTTCAGGACTGGACAGCTGCATTTCTGTAGAAGCCACCTTCCTCCTCCTAGATTTACCCTCGTTATACATCATGTGTGAGGGTAAGTGAGCTCTTTGTATGAGGATATTGTTGTAACACCACACAAGTTTTGGTACCCACGGCTAGTGAAGGTGCTGGTAGTTCCTCATTGAGTGCCAGAAACTGTTCCGAATGTGGGAAAGAGGCGGTGGAAAGAGAAAGAAGAGTAGATTTGTTTAGCTCAAAAATGTAAAATAAAATATTTTCACTAAGGTACTTCTCTTCACTGCCTGACTAATGGCCAATGCGGAAGAAGATTTCATTTGTGTGGCAGATATAGCAAACCTGGAAACTTTATTTTCTTTAGTCAATTGAAGATTTCATTATAACTGTGTGTTATAAAAGTCAGTGACTGCAACAGGGATCATTTTGAAGGAAAACAGTGTTCTTGTTCTGCAATGACAAATCATTTATGTTTATGGTTCTCATTTTGAGAGTTTGCATATAGGATTATATCAGGTAAAGTACAGTATCTTTTCCTAATACCTGATTACCTTAACGTAAGTGATCTCTGTTTGCTTTACAAGATTCAATCAAACAATAAATGAAGGTTACATTATAAGTGCCCTTAGTTCACTAGAAAATGACACAGGGTGATTTATTACAGCACATTATCTTAGGTCACCAAGAGGCCATGGACATCTTAGCCATACATCTAGTCATTTATTTTCTAAAAGAGTAACTAGTACAAAATGCGCAAAGAACTCTGTGTGGAGGTGGAGGTTGGGGAGGTGAAGAAAATAAGATTCACTAAAGATTAAAGCATACCAAATTGCAATCCGATTCTCTTGTTCGAGGTTTAAAGTGCAGGATGAATATATGATTATGATCCACACAAGGTGAAAGTGTCTTTTTGTTAATTATTGGTAAGGTATCCTTTTAATCATATTTCACGGACAGTAATTTTGTGAAGTAATAAGCATTTGATTCCTTTCTTTAGCATGGAATACTGGTTTCGAGCCATGGACATTGATGGAGATGGCATAGTTTCTATGTATGAGCTTGAGTACTTCTATGAAGAGCAATGTGAACGCATGGAGGGAATGGGCATTGAACCATTGCCATTCCATGATCTCCTCTGTCAATTGCTGGATTTAGTGAAACCGGAATGTGAAGGTAAATAAATGGAGTAAAACTCGACTGAAGTGATTCTCAAATTCAATTCCTCCAGCAGGAAGGAGCATAACAAGGAAGCGATGTCACAAAATTAATGGCCAAAAATCATGGATTGTAGGTACACAATTTTCATGATGTGCTCCCTATTGATGTCTGTCTCCATATGGAATGATGTAAATATGAATAATTTCATGTGAGACTACATAATAACTAACCTGGAAATGACTGTGAACAATTAGCACCCTGTATCATACAACTTGCTCCCTGTTATTTTAAGAAGTAGTACCTGTGTGTCACACTTCTCCCTGCTAATATAAAATATAGCACTTCTCCCTCTTTCTCTGTCTCTGCTATTTTAAAGCAAACAGGTCACTGCCCTATCCTAAAAATAGCAGAGATGAGAATATGTTGAAAGTACATCAACATTTGAAGATACCATCCCTCACCTTGATTTTTGAGTTAAATGCCTTGTAGCCAATCTGCTTTTAACTTTTCTTTACTTCTTGCCTTTAAAAAGAGTGTGTTACCTTTTCACAGAGTTGTCAAGAGCACTCAGCTTCTGGAATAGTGTTTTAAAAATAAGTTAATGATTGCCAGAAAGCTCATACACTGAAGATTCAAAATCACATGCAGGTGCAACCATTTGTCTTAGATTCTCCCACTCCACCCCTGCCCCTTCCCATGGTTCATGCTAATTGTGTAGACACATAATTGAAGAATGGCTGCTTTGATGAGGTAAATGAGGATGTGAGACCAAATGTCATGAGTCAGTGCTTTCGAAAGATGGAGGGTAGGCATACAAACATTTTTTCTCTATCCCAGATGTAGGCAACACTAGCAAGGGCATCAACCATGTGGTATGCACTGGTGCCACTTGTCTTCTAAAAGCACATTAATAGTAAAAGGGGTAGTCAAAGAAGAAATAGAGCCTTATAGGGGTTGAAGTGGGGATTTACATTTAGTGACAAGAGACACAGTCGAGTTATTTCTGCTGAAGTATAACAAGGGTCTGTTCAGTTATCGGACCCACTCGTTGCCTCAATGTATGTAAGTGTCCTGTGTGAGTAAGAAATACCGTTGTTTTTTGCAAAGGCAGGGAATTACAATGTTTGCTTTTCTTGTTACGCAAAGACTGTACAGAACTGCTTTCATACATGTAAATGAAGATAAACGTATTTTATGAATAAAGCATATTTTTTGCAAAAAAAAATTGCACCTATCTTTACCTATGAGGCAGAAGAGTTGAAGAGTTCAAAATTGATGGGGTGGAAATATTTTATAAGCTGTTGGTACTTAAAGTTGATAAGGTACTGGAACCAGGTGAAATGCATTAAAAAAAGATTGAAGGAAATCTAAGTTGAAATTGCAGAAGCACTGGCTATAACATTTCAATCTTCTTTGGATTTGGGAGTAGTGCCAGAGAACTGGAGAATTGCAAACATTACGCCCTTGTTCAAAAAAGGTTGTAAAATAGATCCAAGAATTATAGACCAATCCCTTTCACTTTGGTGGGAAGTTTCTAAAAATAATTATTTGCAATAGAATTAATAATCACTTGGAGAATTATGGACTGATTCAACAAAGTCAGTATGGATTTGTTAAGAAAAAATCAAGTCTAACTAACTTGCTGGAGTTTCTTGAAGAGGTAACAGAGAGCGTTGATGAAAAGGAGGCTATTGACATGGTGCATGTGGGCTTCCAAAAGGCATTTGATACAATGCTACCCAACAGACTTGTGAGAAAGTTATAGATCATTGAATAAAAGTGGCAGTAGCAACATAGCTACAAATTGGATGAGGGCTAAGAATCAGAGTAATAGTTACTGATACTTTTCAGGCCAAAAGAGGTTTATATAGAGTTCCCAGGGATCAGTATGGGACCCTTGCTTTTCCTGATTTATGTAAGTGATCTGGATCTAAGTTGTGAACAGCACAAAACTTATGAGAATTGTAAACTCTGAGGAGGATGGTGTAAAAAGATATTGACATATTGTGGAGAGGGTAAACGAGAAGCAGATGACGTGGAGACATTTGAGATGATACACTTTGATACAAAGGACATGGAGCCAGAGTAAAGGATTCTATTCTAAAGGTATGCAGAAGTAAGGAAACCTGCATGTATCTGTATAGAAGTCATTAAAGTTGCCAGGACAGGTTGAGATCTATTAACAAAACATACAGTATTATAAGCTTCTTCAATAGGGGCATAGTCTACAAGAGAGGGGAGTTTATGGTGAACTTATGCAAGACTGGTTAGATCTCAGTTAGTGTATTGTGTACAGTCTGGGCACCACTCTATAGGAATGATGTGAATGTTTTGGAAAGAGTGCAGAAGAGGTTTAAAAGAATGGTGCCCGGAATGAGGCACTTTAGCTATGATGAAGGATTGGAGCAGTTATGACTAGTTACCTTAGAGAAGTGAAGGCTAACAGGAGATTTGAAAGAAGTCTTCAAAACCATGAGGGAGAATGGTTGGCAGAAACTGTTCATGGTCTTAAAGGGATTTAAAACCATGGGACACAATTTTACAGTGTTTTGCAAAAGAAGCAAGAGCAAATTGAGAAAAAAAGACTTTTTCATATAGCAGGTCGTTATGGTATAGAACATAGAACATTACAGCGCAGTACAGGCCCTTCGGCCCTCGATGTTGCGCCGACCTGTGAAACTAATCTGAAGCCCATCTAACCTAAACTATTCCATTATCATCCATATGTTTATCCAATGACCATTTAAATGCCCTTAAAGTTGGCGAGTCTGCTACTTTTGCAGGCAGGGCATTCCACGCCCTTACCACTCTCTGAGTAAAGAACCTACCTCTGACATCTGTCCTATATCTATCACCCCTCAATTTAAAGCTATGTCCCCTCGTGCTGGCCATCACCATCCTAGGAAAAAGGCTCCCACTGTCCACCCTATCTAATCCTCTGATCATCTTGTATGTCTCTATTAAGTCACCTCTTAACCTTCTTCTCTCTAACGAAAACAGCCTCAAGTCCCTCAGCCTTTCCTCATAAGACCTTCCCTCCATACCAGGCAACATCCTGGTAAATCTCCTCTGCACCCTTTCCAATGCTTCCACATCCTTCCTATAATGCGGTGACCAGAACTGTACGCAATACTCCAAGTGCGGCCGCACAGGATTTTGTACAGCTGCAACATGACCTCATGGCTCCGAAACTCAATCCCTCTACCAATAAAACCTAACATATCGTACACCTTCTTAACAACGCTATCAACCTGGCTGGCAACTTTCAGTGATCTATGCACATGGACACCGAGATCTCTCTGCTCATCCACACTACCAAGAATCTTACCATTAGCCCAGTACACTGTATTCCTGTTACTCCTTCCAAAGTGAGTCACCTCACACTTTTCCACATTAAACTCCATTTGCCACCTCTCAGCCCAGCTCTGCAGCTTATCTATGTCCCTCTGTAACCTGCAGCATCCTTCCGCACTATCCACAACTCCACCGACTTTGGTGTCATCCGCAAATTTACTAACCCATCCTTCTACGCCCTCATCCAGGTCATTTATAAAAATGACAAACAGCAGTGGCCCCAAAACAGATCCTTGAGGTACACCACTAGTAACAGAACTCCAGGATGAACATTTCCCATCAACCACCACCCTCTGTATGGATTACACTACTGGAAGTGTGGTGGAGGAAGTTCAGTTGAGGCATTTAAGAGGGCATGTGATGATTATTTCAATAGAGACAAAGTGCAGGGTTATGGGAAAAGGCAGGAAATTGGCACTAAGTTAAAATGTTCAGAGAGCCAGTACATACATAATGGGCTAAATGGCTTCCTTCTGCACTATAACAATTCTATAAATTCTGATTGTGCAATATGCTAGACTAGATCATGATTTCCTTTCCCTCAAAGATATTTGTAACCGATTGAATTTTAACAATAATCCAACATCTTTTGTAATCAATTCTTTAAAAAATAGATATATTCAACAATAAAATTTCATTAATTCGTAGCATTTAAACTTACTACCAGTGGAGTTGCCGTTCCATATTTTTTATTCATTCACGAGACATCGCTGGCTGACCAGCATCTATTTCTATCCCTATTTGTCATTAACAAGGTGATGTGAGTTGCCACCTTGAACTGCTGATATTTGGTGTGGGTAGATTTTGACCGAGCAACGGTGAAGGAACAGTTGTAATCTTTCCAAGTCTGGGTGGTAAGTGGCTTGGAGGGGAACCTGCAGGTAATGGTGTTCCCATTAATGTAACCATTCCACCACGGTAGCAACAGGTATTATGAAAGTAAGGAGAAGTTTGGCGGTAGCACAGCAAGCAAAAGTATTCTTGATCCCAATTTTTGAAATTCCATTAATAACGAAATCACCAACAATAGCAGTGGCTAAAGAATGGAGTTATGGTTATGATCTGAAACTGTTGAATTAAACGTTGAGTCCAGAGGCTGTGAAATGCCGACTTGAAAGATGAGATTCTGCTCTTCAAGTTCACATTGCGCATGTTTGGAACATTGGAAAATGCAGAGGACAAGGAGATCATTGTAGGAGTAGGGCGGAGACTAAATGTGACAGATGGATAGAAGCTTGGGGTCATGCCTACAGACTGAACAGAAGTGGTCACTCAATCTTAGGTCATGAATAAAAAGTACATTATACTGTATTGGGAAAGTACAAATATATTTTGATTCCACATGGAAGAATGTTTAGGACCCTGGATGATGAGAAGAAAATGAAGTATGAGGACAACTGTTGCATGTCTTGTGTTTGCATGGAAAGAAACAGTGGGAATGGGCAGTCATTCAGGAGTAAATCAGGGTTTCATGGCGGAAATAGTCCCTTTGGAATGCTGAAAGAAGAGGAAAGGGGAACAACGTGTTCGGTGGAACTAAGCCTGTTGAACAAATAGGCTGTTGGTGTGGAAGGTGAGGAAAAGGGAAACCTTAATTTGACTCAGGGAGGGAGAACATTGGATATGTGTATAATTGCACATAATGGAATGGACATAGTAGAGGGACCTGTCAACCACTGTGGTGAGATGGGGTGGAGATATCCTCAATGAGGCGAATGAAAACATTTTGGAAATGCCAGTCTTCGATGGAATTCTACAAATAGTTGCAACAGAACGGGAGAAACCGGCAAAACGGAACAGAAGTGGAATATGAGAAAATATAGTTATGGTAGCTGTGAGAATCATTGGGCTTACACACTGTGGATGCTGTTCCATCACTTAAAACAATAAATGGAAGAGGCAGAGAGGTTGAGGAAGAGAAGACAACTATGTGAAGGTGAGGCAAGGTGGAAAATGGAAGTAACGTTGATGAGGTTTTCAGTTCAGGTTGAGAGCAAAAAACTGCTGAAACAATGGATTTACTAGGCAAGTCCTATTTTAGATTCTTGTGAAGGAGGTAACAGTATGTTGTTTGGATCTGGGGAATATGATTTAGTAGGCTCTGGAGGGAAGATCTCTAGAATAGGTTAAGTATTCACTAGTAGGGTCATTGCCTGGAGCAGGAGAAAGTGCCAGAGAGTGGGCATTCACCCACTGTTTTGTTGAAGTTGGTCACCAAATAAAAGCAACACACCCTTCTCAACAATTTTAATGTTAGGGTTCAACTTTTTAAGAAGTGGAATGCTACAGGAGGTCGCTTAAAATTGAGGGAAACAGAAAAACTGAGGTGATTGATGTCTTGCTTGCATTAGAAAACCAACATGGTTCCTATTCCAGAATGACTATACAAAGACCAGCTACAGCAGAGGTGAGTATGTGAATGAGGCTAAATTGGGCTTTGCTGAGGTAGATATCTTAGTTCATTAGCCTACAGACATTTTCTGTCAGGGTTCACACATGAAAAAGGACATTTTCCTGCTCAGTCCTCCCACTATCTCAACTGAATACAGACACACAAAATTCATATCTTCAGCCAACCCAGTTTGTTGGCAAATTTCCGAATAGCAGGTTCAAAAAGGCAGCACAAAGTGTGACAGCGGCAGCAAATATTTTGCCTATTACGTTGTATTTGAGATTTTAGTTCTTGTCTGCACTTATTTTTATTGTTGTTCTTCATTCCAGGTAAAATAACCATGCGGGATCTAAAGAGATGCAGAATGGCTCATATTTTTTATGACACCTGCTTCAACTTGGAGAAATACCTGGACCATGAGCAGAGGGATCCATTTGCTGTACAGAAGGTATTATAAATGGAGCAGATAAATATTGCCATTTAACAGCACAGGACCAGAAGCAATTACTTTAAGTTTAAGACAGAGTTAATGAAGCAAAATGCCAAGGCTGCATTTGATCTGAATGTGTCATCTGATGTGATGGAGTGTGTGGGTTTTACTTTTAAAAAGTAATTGCAAAATCAAATATCTAACATTTATTATAATATTCTACTATTATGGAGAGAGGTTTCAACTGTTAAAGCTATACTCTGCCATAATTTGAAAGGGTAAAAATAAAGAATACAGATGGAACATAACTAATATTATGTGGAATCTCCTGCACCACCATGTTTTTAACATGTTTGGTTTGGTTTGGTTAAACTTGTTTAGCAATTTGGTTAACAATTTTATGCAACTAAATCATCCTTTTCTATTGTGGAAAGTTTTTATGTGAGTCAATCAATACTCCTGTTGACACAAAGAAAGGATGAATAAAGACATGAATATTACACATTCAAAACTCTCTTTTATTCACAGGGGTTTATACTTGTTATGCATGATAAATGTACAGCAGTGGGTCACCAGTTAAACATCATGTCTGATATTGAACCCACTAACATTAGGGCAAGGTGTGCAACAGGTGACCCAAGTAATAGTGCCCAGCTTCTGCTACAAATTTATACCACTACATTGATTAAAGTGTGCATGTTTTTTTTTCCCCTAACTGAATGTTTCAAATAAAAGCTGGTTGAAATTTTAGTGGGACTAATACTTCAGTAATTTGAGGCCTACTTGCATCGTGAGAATCTTGAGCTTTGTATGTTTTGACAAGGAATCCGTTTTAAAATATATATTTTTTTAATTTTAAAGAATTTTTTAAATTTAAAGAATGAATTTGGTACATTTTTACTGACTATTACCTTTTGTGTCTTGGAGGATATTGAGAGTGATGGTCCGGAACCTTCCGACTGGGACAAGTATGCAGCTGAAGAATATGAGATTTTGGTTGCTGAGGAATCAGCCAATGAGCAGTTACAGGAAGGGTAAGTGGCTTCAAAGTGGAGTTGATAATTCTATTTTTCACATAATGAAGCTGGTTGATAATAATTCAACAATAACCACAGCACATTAGTTTTCAGGTCTTAGATTAGTTATATTTCCTGACTGCAGCGATTGACACAGAACCTTGGTCGCATCAAATACCAAGGACATTGGTACCTCGCAAGGAAGCTCTATGAAAGGAAATCTGATCAGGCCCTTGATAATCTGTGTGAATTTTGCTGGTACACTCCCATAGCTTGGCTGGCAGAACAGTGAAATCCCTTGGAAATAGTGCAGGTGGCCGTTTACATTGCTTGCACAGGAACATTCCAGTGCAAGGGAGATGTAGAACCTCTGACAATCTTCAGAGCCTGTATTTTATGTCAATTAAGCTGAAAGTGATGTCATGTTATTTTAATTTTATTTAAGTGAATTCTCACCTCTAATTTAGCATGGCCATCAGTAAGACCTCATTCAATATCTATTTATGTGGTGAATTCATCATTTTTTGAGAATGAAGTGTATTACCTAAAGAAATGAGAAAATAATTTCTCAGTTTCAGTGCTCTGTAAGTGAACGTTTTTTTTATTGGCCAGGGAATGAATCCAAACATGATTAATCAAGGTAGAATAGATAATGTGATCTACATGTTACTGTCTGCAAAATCTATAGCAGCACTAACATTAATCTGTTAAAAGGATGTACTTTTGACACATTGATGGCTCAGTGAGCTGCCTCCTGTATAACAGATTGATAGGTCAAGAAGATCTCAGGTTACTGTTTGTTTGTGCATTAATGTCACCAATGATGGCTTCAGTACCATTATTTGGGGAAGAACAGCAAGTATTAGCATTTAGTGAGTCTTGTGCAAAGACTGTTGCTTGGTTGGAACTCAAGTGAGAAGAGGATTAGCCACGGTCCAATACTCTGCTGGCACTTTGAGGGTTTAAACGTAGAATGCACAGGACAAATGAGGACGAAATTAGATGAAATGAGCTCAATTGGAAAGAATTGTAATCACGACAAAGTAGCAGTTATTGTCACCCGTGATTGTTCAGCTCCTTGACATATTGTCCAACTAAGCTTCTGTGCTTTAGGTGGAAAGCTGAAGAGGAATGACCACACGTTGCAGCAATGATCACTTGGATGAAAAATGCAGCCCTTGCTTAGAAAAACTCAGACCTTGGGCTCAGGGGTGATGAATTATTATACGTGCAAGCGGACAGAGGGGGCTGATAGCACAATGTCATATTAAGCCTCTTCAAAATGGTGCTATCAGAACCAATCTAATGGCTTATATATAGACCATTTATAAACAATGTGGTGCTAAAAGTAGCACCTTGGCGGTGATTAACCTGCCCGCGTACTGTACCTATAGCTGCTAGCTAGTACTATCAGAGGTGACGTAGAATCAAACTACAAGGTTGTTTTGCTCAAACTTAGCCCTGTGTGTATTAGTGTTTCAACCAAACAGTGGCACCATCTACTGTTAGTTTATATGTTGTAGCCACTTGCAACACTTATATTTGACAAATCTAGGAAAGTCAGTATAAAGTATAGAAGTTTGAATCACCATTTCAAAGACTAAGAGTATCAGATAAGACTATCGGAGATGAGCACATTTCTCCGCTCATATACAATGCATTATATGTGTGACTAATCAGAATGTGGCAAAGGCTTGTCACAGCAGTGAGTAGAACATCACAGAGTACTGCCACCTGTTGATTAAATAGTGACATTGCTAAAGTTGTTTCTTACACTTTATTTTACTCAATTGGAAAAAAATACATTGAATTCTTCTCATTCGTGGTTGTTATTTTCTGCACAGATGGTCTAAATCTTACTGCAGATTGTAATCTCTTTCAATCAGTCCTCATATTAGTCTAATTTTTCAAACAGTCAAGTGAAATTTTGTACATTTCACACAGACAAGAAAATGTGAAAATTATGTAAAACTGCCAGTTTGATAGGAGAGGGGTGAAAGGATACAGTAGAGTAGAGAAATCTTGAATGCCCAACTGAAGTAAGCAAGTCATTGAATTTTACAGCAAAGAGAAAGGCCATTCATTCCACCAATATGGCCTACCCTGGGGGGGGGGCAAGGGCGCAAGTGCGCAAGATGTTAAAGATGCCCAGCTCTCAGCAATTTAAAGGATATTAGGAACAGAATTTTCTAGGCTTAGAGGCAGTAAGGTGTTTTAATTAGGTGAGATGGTGGTGGACCAGAACCCTTTAACTTCCCACCTTTGCTCAAATTTAGTTCCGGCTGCCAATTGAGGTCCTTCAGGTTATCAATGAATGTCCACTTAAGGTCCTGCTTGAGTTGCAATTATTTCAGTTCCAGGTAGGATGGGAAGGAATCACCGTAGCTGACTAGTGAATCGGTATGGGAAAGTTTTAACTTTGGGAAAGGAAATCAAGAGACCAGATCTAGCTGAGAGACAGCTTTGAGAATCATCTCTTGGCCTTCTTCCAACACGTCACTGTCCACCCTCTTCCCCCCTCTCCAGAACGCCCCCCCAAACCACACTCCTAACAGCACTTAGTGAATGATCCACCGTCATGTTAAGTCCAAGGGCTATGCATTTTTCTTTTATGACAGAATTCTACCTCTGATTTTAACTCCCGGGGGAGTTCTGCTGACATCACACCTCTGGCTGTCTGGAGATTTTATATCCTGAGCCTGACTTGCACATGCGCACATCAGTCTCCCATCTGATTCTCAGTGGGAAGGGTTTGTTGGTTTGGCAGCACAGCCATTGTGGATTCCTGACACAGACCTCATGTTAAAATTTAATATGATCAGAGCTTGACATTCATATTTGGAAGAGGACCCTACTACCTTACAGCAAGCATCATAAGAACAAATTAATTAAGAGCAATAGCAGGCCTTTTGGTCCTTTGAGTCTGCTGATCATCTACCTCTCCACACCACCTTCATGCACTAATCCATATCCATTAATTCCCTCAGTCCCCAAATATCCAATCCATAATTTACACAACAATTAAGCATTCCCAGCTCTTTTGGGTTGAAAGATACACAACCGTTTAAGTGAAAGGAGCAGATTAAACTTGCGACCTGTGCAAAGGATTGGAATTGGGGAGTTGAAGTTGCTGCATCAGTTTTGATGCTCAGTTTTCACCAGATGGGTAGGATTAAAATTGACTGATTTATTCTGTGGTGACAGACAAACAATTACAGTACTTAAACAATAGTAGGATTTGGTTGGATTCAGGAACAATGTTTCTTTTGCTTCTTCTTTGCAGCTCATTTGAGGAAGATTACGAATCAGATGAACTATCCACCCCAGAGCTCAGCAACAAGATGGACAAACTTGTCATTTCTGACCTGCCGACATAAATTCAAAGCTAGCTCAGCTGCTGGACAGTCAGGGTGACCAGTAGACACCAACTTTAAGGACTGACCACTGCCCGGTCAGATGTGTAGAGAAAATAAATTGTTTATATTGTTGTTTTTGTTGAAGAGATTATGCTAGATTTTATATCAGAACAAAAGAAGTACATGCTTACTGTGTGCAATGAAATTTATCCAAAATCAAAAAAAACTCTCTGTTTGTGCAATATGTCTTAAAATGCAGTGTTATGTATATGGATTTCTATGAGATGTCCATTGCTACATTTGTCCACATTTAGTTATTGCTTATTTTTCTAATTCCTCCCATTTTATCTTCTTGTCAACATTTCAGGGTCATCTTCTTTCCAGTATAAATCATCCATTATTCAGTGCCTTATCAAGGCTTGGTAAAGTTCTTTTCTTCCTATTAGTAGTCTCACACTGTGATTTTTTTTTCAAAAAAATTGCTCTCGTTATCTGAAGACAGTCCCAGCCAAATGAGCTGAAAAACCTAGTATAAAGGCCCAACTGGATAAAATGCTGTGTGGTTGTTTGCAGGAGGCAACACTGACACATAGGCATTCATATGGCTCTTGAACATAGTAAAACATCAAATCTCACATGCTGCATTGCATGGAAAATATTTAATGAAATGCGCAGAATTAGACCAGCGAATTGGCTGGCCCAAAGGAGATGGCTAATTTTCCATTTTCTTTACATGTTCTATATTTTCTCATTTGTGGAAGTTTCTACAAATTGCGGGGGAGAAAAGCATTTTTTTCTTATAAGAGCAATTCAGTATCTTGCACTTGCTCAGCGAGTTCAGTTCACAAACATCCCCAGGAAACCTTTCTGAACTTGTTCCTTGGGTTCTTGTAGGTACCTCTTCCTGCTTCCATTTGCTGTTCCATTCAAATATTTGCCTGATTGCGTCTGCTCTTTTGATGCGCTCGAATTGCTGCTACTGTGGGGATACATTCTTTCATTCAACACTGGTTTCACAGTTTGGATGCTGTTTAAATCATGTTTAGTTACTGGGGAGTTCCTGTTTGCTAACCATAAATTCACAAATCAATGCTGGAGGTTCAAGAGAAAAAAAAAACATATTTTCATATTTTGACACATTAACAGTCCACTTCAGTCTTTACTCAGTCTTAAAAATTTTTCAAAATCTACTCTGTATTGAACAAGAATCTTACCCCTTCAGACACCAAAGTCCTTAAAACTATTAAAAAAAAACTCCCTGTCACAAAACCAGACTGAATTCAACATGAAAACATATCAAGGTGCCTTCTGTTTCTGAATGTTAAAGGAAGTCTGTAAATTTAGCAAATTCAATGGTCACAAACATTAAATAGTTAAGAGAGTGCAGGTTACTGATATTAAAAGTTTAATACTAGTTTAAAGAAAAGGCATTGTAATCGTTCAGTCAATGCAATTAATTTTTATTCTGATGAGTGCAAATTGCAGGTTTATTTAGAAATGTTGTATAATATCTCGCAGTTCTCGGTTTCATGCACGAGGTTATTATTTCTGATCTTTGGTGGTTTCCCAGTTACAATTGTATTCAAATTTCCATTTGATATTGAGCCTTTGGGTCTGCTGTTTAATGGACTTCACTGGGCAATGGCCAAGGGGTATTATCACTAGACTATTAATCCAGAGACCCAGGTAATATTGTGGGGACCTGGGTACAAATCTTACGGATGGTGGAATTTGAATGGAATTAAGAGTTTAATGATTACCATGAAACTGTTGTGAATTGTCAGGAGAACCCTAATGCACTCTAGGGAAAGAAGTTTACCCTAAATGTGACTCTGGACCCACAACTGCCCTCTGGGCAGTTAGGCCAGCATTTATCACCCATCCCTATCTAGTGATGCCCACATTCTGTGAATTAATAAAAAGAATGTTCCTCCTGGGGAATCCAGTCCTATTGTGGAAAATCTCATTGCGAGTCCTTAAAATTCCTTTTAGTCTAGAATTTCCCAGCTTTTACAGAAAATCTTTCTTGTTTCACCCTGACCATTTTACTTGCAACCATAATGAGTGTTCCAACAAACAACAATGAAGCAATGTGGTGTCACAATACTGAATGGAGAAAAACATTTTGATTTTCAAATGGTGTTTTCACAGAACACAGGCAAGGGTATGATTAAGCACTGATTAAAGGCAATGGCATTGTGTTATTAGATATCAATTAATTCTAGTCCCAAAGTCCTCTTTTCTATAATGTATCAAAAGTACAGTGAACCAAAGACAGACCTGCAGTTAGGAAGTTGTAATTGAGTTTTCCTGATACTATGCTCAACGAACTTGCTTTCTGTTCTCCCTGGCCCCCTATCAATCCTTCTTCAATAATTACTCTGGACTTGTCATTATTGATACATAATCAAAAAGCACAGAAAATGCTGGCAGAATAAAGTGAGTCCTTCAGAATAAGTCACTGAAGGCTAACATTGCAAGTGCAGCAGGCTATTAGAAAGACTAATGGTCTGTTAGCCTTTATTGCAAGAGAATTTGAGTACAGGAGTAGTGAAATCTTGCTTCAACTGTAAAGGAGCTTGGTTAGACCACACCTAAAGTATTCTGTACAGTTTTAAACTCCTGATCTCAGGAAAGAGATTTTTTGCCATAGAGGTTGTGGATTGAATGTTCGCTGGATTTGTTTCCAGGATAACAGGACTTTCCTGTGAAGAAATCTTAGGCAACTTAGGCCTGTATTCTGTAGAGTTTTAAATCATGAGAGGTGATCATATTGAAACATATAAAATCCTTAAAGGAATACACAGGGTAGATGCAAGTCAGATGTGTCCCCTGGTTGGAGAGTCTAGAACCAGGGTGCATAATTTGAAAATAGCGTTTGCCAATTAGATTTGAGATTAGAGATTTTTTTTTCTACGTTGAGGGTTCTGACCCTTTGGAATTCTCTACTACAGGTGGCTATGGAGCTCAGTCTTTGACTGTTTCAGGTTGAGATTGATAGATTCCAGATTACCAGTGGCAAACAGGTTTGTGGGGATGGGGTGGGTAAAATGCATTGAAGTGTTCAATCAGCCATGACTTCATTGAACAACAGGCTGAATGGTCTACTCCATTCCTACATTCCTATGAATCAACTCATTAATGTCCTGTTTGTGATTAAATCTTTCTTACCCAAATATATAGACACACACAGTCTCCCTCACTCTCTCTCTCCTTTTCTGTCTCTCACAAACACACACTCATCCTCATACTCTCTCTCGCAACCCCCCCCCATTCTCTCACACATAAACACACACACGTCCCAGCCCCCGACAACTTATTTCTATACTAAAGGGATTCATTATCTGTCAGCTATGAGGGCTATTCTCATACCTACAACTTCTCCATGCCATTTTACCATCCTACCTGAACCAAAATACTATTCAAGATTATTTTCTGAATTTGCTGGGATATCATATAGTTGCTGCCTAGATGTTGTGCCATTTTCTATCTGCAAGAAGTTCTGCATGTACAGAGGATTACACAACACAATACCACTAATGCCAACTTTAGTTGATAGGAGTAGGTAACCTAAGATTTTGTTGAAAATTAATATTGTGTTGTTTCTCTAATGAACTGCCAATTTGCAACACCAGTTTTATGTTCAGGAGACAAGCTGAAAATCTTTCGGTCACTAAAAAGTGAACTCCAGAGAGATAGCATTATGAACATGGGGACAAAATTAGTAGTTTGAGATGACTGATGGAACAGTATGGAATTACCGTGCACTTTTTCATTGAAATGATCTGCCTAAATAGAAAGACAGATGTGGTTGCTGATGGGAATCACAATTGAGCTTTTCATTTCCCTGAATTTTGTTCTTTCCAGGCCTGATCGCAGACTTGGTGTCAATGTAATCCCGGAGTACACGCATTTGTTTATTATTTTCTTTTGTAGCCATTTATTGAAATTAATGTGTTATGTGGTTCTGAGTGGGGCATTACCCCACTTAGCATCCATTGATCAAGTACTAAAAGTAACTTCAAAACATCAAGTCTTATGAATTTGCAAATTTAGACACGGGAGTAGATCACTAGGCCCTTGAGCCTGATCTACTCATCGATAAGATCATGGCTGATCTTACATCTTGTACTACCCCACATAGCCATGTCTGTTTCCTATACAGTCTACCTTTAAGGTTTATGTCATTGTATCTGTATATATTGTGCGAAGAAAAGGGCATTTTATTGTTTGACGCTGCCCAAACACGTTAGCTAAAGTTCCGTGTGATGTGGGCCCCTTCACTTGCTGTATAAACAGAGGCGGATGTGTTTGCTGCATCTGCAAGATAAAACAAGTTTGATCTTCAGCAGATTTAGTTCCTGTGACAGCTGACAGGGTTTTCCACATAGGTTATTTCAGTATTTCAATTCAGTGGAAATCTCCCTGTGAAATTCCTTTGAGGCAAATTCACTCCATCTATTGGCTTAGGTTTTAACCAAAACTGTAGAAGTAGAAGGACCCTTTCTTGATTAAATTGAAATATTTGTTCTGCACGCATGCTCCGTTTGTAACTTGCATGTGTTCTCTATGTTGCTGTGAGAGTAGTTTTATCCAGTAGGTTTATATTTCTAAAAACCAAAAGAACTGCGGATGCTGTAAATCAGGAACAAAAACAAAGTTGCTGGAAAAGCTCAGCAGGTCTGGCAGCATCTGTGAAGGAGAAAACAGAGTTAATGTTTCGGGTCTGGTAACTCCTTCACAGATGCTGCCAGACCTGCTGAGGTTTATTTTTCTGTTTGTGTGATCTAGTTTTAACACTTTATTTACCAAGGCTTAATACTATTGACAATGGATGGAAATGACCTGGGAATTTTCACTCAGTCTCTGATGTGAATGCCTAATTAGCTGGTAAAGGCTGATGCCAAGATTAAAATTTAGTGCATTGCTTGCTGGCTGTACAAAACCACAGTATGTGTGTCATTACTATAATTCAGAAAAGATGAGAGCTATATTAAAGGTGGTTACAGATAGGTTACAGCACATTTTAGTTAAAGATCACAAAAGTTCAGCCTAGCTTCCAGAAA